GGGGAACATGGGGGTCTGGGGAGGGATTTCCACACCGATAGGACACGCAAGAGCCTGGAGCCTCTGGCTTCGGAGGTCGCAGGCCTGGAGGAGGGCTGGGAGCTGAGGGAGGAGATGGGTAGCTGTGCCATACGTGTACGGGACAGAGCTGCTTCATCCCTGCAGAGCCGGCTGGCAGAGCCCGGTGCCCGCGCTGCTCATGGGCATCAACGTCTCCTCATGCAGCTGCTGTCACGTTAACACATAGCGGATCCCATAAGGATTTTTGTTGTGCTGAATACCTCATACGTCCTGCCCTGATGTGCTTAGAGGTGGCAGGGAAAGGTGGGTGCTTGGGATAACCCCTAATAAGTGTGACAGAAACCCAGAGCACAGATGCTCAAGTCCACTCAGGTTCCGTGTCTCCAGCACCACGCCTGCCCCCTGACATGGAGCTCTGGCTAAAGCTGTTTCTGTTCCCAGGTGGGAGCAGTGGGAAAGGAGATGTTCCTCGTGTCTGCGCTGGAAGCAGGATGAATCTCATGTCTATGGCGACAGATCCTGAGTTGAAATGGATAACCCTGTGGGTCCGCATCAGGTGGGCAGCCGTGCTCATGCTCCTCCTGGGCTCGCTTGTGATGCTGCTGCTCCCGCTGGCTGCTGTGGAAGATCAGTGCCACGCAGTGCTCAAAGGACTCTCCTTCCTGAAAAGTAAACTGGGCACAGGCTCCTCAGGAGTCACCAGATACACAGGACAAACAACCGGACTGAGCGTGACCTCCAATGGGCTGGAGCTGCTGGTGCTCAAAGGCAAAGCCTCCCCAGGTAAGGGTCTTCCCCGGGTGGGTGCAGGGGTAACAGCTGAGTTGCTGTATAATAACAACCCGGATCTGGAGATCCGCACCCCCTACCTGATGATCTCCTGTACCCCGTAATGGTAACGAACTCTCACTGCCTGACTGCCAATTAATGTCAGCTGTAAATGACCCAGAGGTCAGAGGTGCCATCACCAGCCTGGCTGTCAGCAGCAGCCCGACTGCATTCCATCGCCCTGCCCGGCAGAAGGGCCATGCGCTGGCCTTCTCTCAGCGCTGCTTTGTCTCTCAGAAGTTTTTTTCCTCATGCTTTCAGTACTAGTAAGTTCTGTTAAGGTAACTGAATACAGAGTGGTGTTTTAATCCACAGTAACCTGGGATACACGGCATAAATCCTGAAATTCTGGCCATCACAGAACAGCCTTTCTGGCAATGACAGGCTGCTGTCATTGCCTTTATTGGCCAGAACATTGATTTGGAAAACATTCAAAGGAGTCATTACAATTCCAGCACTGTATCTTTGTTTGCATTAAAGCTATTATTGCTGGGAAAATGATACGGATAGAAGTGCTGTTAGCAGCTGTGGGCTGTGCCTCTAACAAGAGAACTGGCATTATTGCCAAGAGAACGTATGTAAGACTCTGGGTCCTCCCACACAAAGCAGCCTGGTGGCTAAAGCAAGTTTTGCCGGGATGGCTGCACGCCTGTGGCCAGCTTGAGCCATGCTGCTCGCAGATCCTGCCTCGCTACGCTGCCTGCCAGGAACAGCTCTGCTGCTGTGTACTTGGCCTGTAAACGTGGCATAAGCCTCTGCATGTGTAGCCCGGCAAAGGCTGGAATCCAAGTTCTTTGTTACAGTTCTTACAGACTGGCTTTATTTCATTTTTATGTGATGGTCTTCAAAGGTTTTCAGTACAACTCACTACCCTGTTATCTAACTGTTGGTGTTGCATTTCAGAAGTGAAGTTAGAAGCCAAAGCGGCTCTGAATCAAGCCCTCGAAATGAAGCGCCAAGGAAAGCGGGAGAAAGCCCACAAACTCTTCGTGTATGCCCTCAAAATCGACCCTGATTATGTGGATGCCCTAAATGAATTTGGTATCTTTTCTGAAGAGGAAAAAGACATTCTTCAAGCCGACTATTTGTACTCCAAAGCACTAACCATTTCTCCCTGCAACGAGAAGGCTTTGATCAATCGGGACCGGACGCTACCTTTAGTTGAAGAGATAGATCAGAGGTATTTTAGCATTATTGACAGCAAGGTTAAAAAAGTGATGGCAATCCCCAAAGGCAACTCTGCCCTGCGCCGAGTGATGGAGGAGTCCTATTACCACCACATCTACCACACAGTTGCTATTGAAGGAAACACTCTGACGCTGTCAGAAATACGACACATCATTGAGACCAGATACGCCGTTCCTGGAAAAAGCTTAGTGGAGCAGAACGAGGTGATTGGCATGCACGCAGCTTTGAAATATGTCAATACCACGCTGGTATCGCGGATAGGCTCCGTAACCATCAGTGATATCTTGGAGATACACCGGAGAGTGCTGGGCTATGCCGACCCAGTGGAGGCAGGGCGGTTCAGGACTACTCAGGTGTTTGTAGGACATCACATACCACCGCATCCCCAAGATGTTGAGAAACAGATGCAGGAGTTTGTGCAGTGGATTAACTCAGAAGATGCCATGAGCTTGCACCCTGTGGAATTTGCTGCATTAGCTCACTACAAGTTGGTTTACATCCATCCATTTGTAGATGGCAACGGAAGGACCTCGCGCCTGCTGATGAACCTCATCCTAATGCAGGCAGGCTACCCGCCCATCACAATCCGCAAGGAGCAACGGGCCGAGTATTATCACGTCTTAGAAGTAGCCAATGAGGGCGACGTGAGGCCTTTCATACGCTTCATTGCCAAGTGTACTGAGACAACTCTGGACATGTTGCTCATTGCCACCACAGAATACTCGGTGGGCTTACCTGAAGCAGATGGCAGCGCTGCTGGATGCAAACAAACAATCCCCGTCAAGACTTGAGGGTTGTGGACTTTTGGGAGCCAATGAACACGTGGGAGAACAGAACACCCAAGCCACTCAGTATTCCTGCCGGGAAATAACTCGACAGGACGTGTCACTCTTTAGCATTTCATTTATTTAAAGTGTCTTACATTTGCTTAAATTAATATAATTTATTTATGTACATTATGCTAAGCTGAAATGTGAACTGTTGATGTTGACTGTGCACTATAACTTGCTTGTGCTACTGGAAGGAGGTGGGGAGAGGTGTCGGGGGGCTCAACAAGCTGAAGGAGAATTTAGTATCTCCTTAAAATTAAGCTTCGAGAAGCTACTTCAATCACAGCTCTTCACCTAGTCAGTCAACTGCATTGTCTTACCTTGTCAAGGAACTGCTAGGTAAGACAAAGTCTTAACCGAGTTGTTACTTTTTTGTTACCTCTTCCCTGCTGTTCAAAAAGAACCAAAACCCACCCCCAAAATGCAACCGTTGCAGCAACAGCACTCTCCCAGCCGTGTTAATCAGACTCTCTCCTGTCAGTCATACAGGTTTGACAGGTACCAATCAGGAGGGAGGCTAAACTCCAGTTCAGCAAAGGCATCTCTCCCCTCCCATTTCTCTTTTCAGTAGCACTTTGCACGTTTACTTTCAGTTGCCTTTCCTAGGGTGAGTTTTGTACAACAAGCAGGAAGTATTTGGTTTAAGATTACAGATGATGTGACCGGAACAAAAGAAGAAACGCTCTCTGACTTATTTCACTGAACTGTGAGGTGCTTTTGCCAGACTTCAGACAGAAGGACTAGAGTGCTCCGAGGCCTTGCCTCGGACCCCACCTCATCCAGCAGGATCCCTGGGAAACTGCAACTGTCCTTACATATTTCAGTTCAGGGTTTGACAAGAGCTTGCTTCCGCAAAGCTGGGGGCAGAAAAGGTTATTACACATAACCATGAGAAAACCTTTATCAGTTGTGCCAATCTGGTAGGAATGTGTATAGCAAGTCTGCCCAAAACTTAAGTTTCTTCAATCTATGCAAGAGAACTTTTCACAATTAATTACTAGGTCACATCATTACCATGATAAATGCATCAAGAATCACGTGAGGCCTCTTTATGCTGCAGTGGCAGTTAGTGTGGTACCTGGAAGCTGCTATGCAATTCAAAGCAGCATACTTTATCTTTGCTTTTAAGGTAAAAGCACTTGCAGCTTAACATAGAAGACCAGCTCCTTACCTCCCTGCCTGCCAGTTGAGTAACAGCACAGTTGATCCCAACACCTCTCAGTTCAGAAAACTTCCATTCAATCCAGTTCAGAGCGCTGTTAAGCTTAAACTCTTTGCAAAACAGCATAAGCTGTTAGAGTGTCCCAGGCCAGCGTTAAATTTCTTCCCTTCCCTCTCTTACCTGCAAGGTAGTTAGGACACATTCTATACAAACAGACAATAGGACAAGACTGGGAGTTACCTAAATACTACAGCACCACTCCGTGCTTATGTACCGATTACTGCTGACAGGGAAAGAAAACAGTAAGTGAGGAAGGTTGTTCTGTCCTTACAACGTGTGCTTATTTTTGTAGCACAAGGTGAGTATAAATAAAATCTGCACTTTAGAGCTCTGGGGGAAAAAATGTTATTTTAGTAACAGATTAATAAACTATTTTAATATTAAAGTCTTTGTTTGGAATAGGCTGTTCTCAAAACACATTACTGCTGCAGTGAACTAAGAAGCGGTCACAGCTCAGTTTGTGGAGTAGCAAGTTACACGGTACGCATCCTGGCTCCCTCAGCTCTGTACAACTGTACTGCAGGAGGGCTCTGAAGCGGCATGTCCAACACCAGGGAACTTCATTTATCACTAGTGGTGTGTACATGCCTGCGTGCCATTATTAAAGAGCTATTAGAACATTTCTAAGCTGATTATGAGATACAATCCCATGGTATCACCAGTACAATACTGTCTGGCTAGCCCAAGCCTCTGGCACAGAAGCAGCTGCACACCATACTGTGAACAAGCACCGACAGAACCTGGTCCCTTGCTGTATCACAACTGCTGCCATTACATGGTTCAAAGTTACGAAGCAGACTCATCACTTCAAAGTAAAGCCAAGTCAAACCAGCACAGAACGTAAGCACTGAAAATAGGGTTTATTTGCAGCAGTGCTTGTGTCGTACAAGTGAACTTGGTACTGGGGTGCCCCCCCCCTTCAACCCCTGCCTGTGTTGGCTTCCAGAGTCAGCAGCAGTGTGAGTTGACAAGCAGTAATATTTCTATTCCAGATCACGTACCATATTATTTTAAAAAATCTGAGGTGATTACTGAAGTGGTTCCAGGATATTCATACTAGATGGAATGAGCTACTTAAAGGTGTTTAAGTGACACTGTGTATCTCGGTGCACCTGGAAAGTGCAGTACATCAGTATTACCCAGCTGCCATAGGATAAGTGCAATTCCAACACCCACATTTAAACAAAAGCAACAGTATTTATAGAAAACCTTTGAGAATTTGAGTTTAATAAACCAAGAAACATCAGCTTGCACTTCACATTTGTACAAAACCATACAGAAACCACCTGCAAAAAGACGTAAGAGCTAGCTAGCAAAAACAACCAAAAAAATGGTCCTCTGCAACAGCATGTACAGCTTTTATGGGAAACAAAAATTACCAGATCTAAGTATTATCTCATGACATTTAAAAATAATAATTTGAATGTCTTTTACAAACGCACAATATAAAAAACGTGTCAACTTGAACAGAACATTAACTGAATACATATATATGTATATTTGTGTATATACATATACACACATATGTATAGAAACTCTCCCAATACTAAAATAGGCCATTGTGGTGAAGTTACTAGCATCTGCCATTTAACTCTGAATGGAAGGAGATGAATGTCCCTGCGTGTCTGTGTGTGTTTGGGTGTAAAATGGGTTTGTTGTCAGAGAGAATGACTGCAATCACAATCTGAACTGACCAGTGGAGCTTGACAAGGTTATCGCTAGGCTTTCACGTTGCATCTCATTCATTAATGAAAGAGAAATATTTGTAAAGTATTCTTAAAACTTGATGTGGCATCCAACCTGTACAGGAAGTACTTCCCGCCTCGTTACCCTCAATATGAGGAATCATATAACGCCATTTTACCAGAACATAATATGACTCTTTGCTCTTAGAAACAGAGGAAAAAAACCTGGATTTGTACCATCCTACACTGATCTCGATGAATGCAGTAGTCCAGAACGGTATTTACACATGATTGTGACTGGCGTTCTCTCCTTGCTAGCATAAGGACACAACATGGCTTCCATAAAGGCATTTCACATTTTACCAGACCTGCTGATTGCAGACTTTTTGCTCACTTTTTCAGTAGCATCTTGGCAAAATCAGCATTGGACATCTTTTTAGGCTCCTCGGGGGGTTCGGATGAAGTTGCTGGTGAGTTCTGGACCATCCCATTCTCAGCCTTAGCCACAGGATTACTCTGGCGCTGTAATGCACGAGGCATCATTGAAAGCTGCGTCCTTCCTTTCCCTCGCCTGGAGAACAAAAAGTGACATTTAAAGATATCCCACTGCTCTTTGAACATACTGTTTTAGCTTGGGGAAACAAAAAGGACTTTGTTCGCTACGAGGAACGCTCATTTAAATGTTATTCCTGTCATCCGTTTCAGAAATTAGTGCAAAGCTTTCAATAGGTGCTCTTTGAAACAGTATACCTAAGTCCTGGCAGAAAACAACTGCCCAACAGTCCCCAGAAACTGAAGCTCAATGTTTATCTACAGAGCACGTACAATACAACGCCAACGCAATGCTAAGCAGCAGGAGCACTCAAAGATGAAAGAGCAACCTTAATGCTCACTGTGAACAATGGCTAATTCCCCAGGAGAGGACAGGGAAGTTACTAGTGCTCAGGCGCTAACATCAGATCCAACAGGGCATCCAGGGCCACATACTCTCAGTCACTACAGACCTGTTTCTGTTGGTAACATCAAGAAGAAAAATCTGCTTTTCCTCAGCAATCCAGCAACCCAAATCTTTATGGTTCGGCACCTTAGAAACATTCTCTCATATTCCAGAGAAGATTCCTACATTGTAGCATATAAAGAAACCCAGTGCTTTCTTTTTAAGCATTGCCAAGCAGTCTCCCTCACCGATACTTACGCTCCATAAACCTGTCGTGGTACTGCAAACTGCGAGGCTCTGCCTGCCTCAGGCTTGTCTGGCAGCTTTCGGAGAGGTGGGTTACTGATCGCCACCTTGATGACGTGTTCCTTAACTGTCAGGCCATCCATCTTCAGCACAGCCTGTGAGGCCTGAGCTTCATTTTCATATTCTACATAGGCCAGGCCCTAAATAAGGAAAACAAGTAACCTACATTAGTTTTAGTGCTTCTTTCTCTGCATGACAGCTTTTGTGAATAATTTGGCCAACTGCTAAGAAAATCAGTACAGAAAGCAGACCTAAACATGGCTCAGAGTCCCAGTATTCTTTAGCTAAAATAATTCTTATCTACCTGCATTGTTTGACTCTTATTCCTGATGCCCTAATTTGTGGAAGAGGTATTAAAAAAAAAAAAAAAAGAAAACCAAGATCCCATTAAAGCAAATATCATGAAGTACTGCCTCACTGGCAAGTCTTCACTTCTAAATGTATATTATACATATATCCAGGCTGAATCTAGTATTGGACAGATTTGGATTCACAGTGGGAGAAAAGATAAATCAATCTACAGAGCTAGAATAGAAAGAGCCACACAAACTCTCCTGCAATACTTCACTAGGCTACAACTCATACCTAAGGAATCCACTCTGCCAACACAGGGCCATTGTGGCCACCTTGGTTTCAAAAGCAGTAAAACCCATCTTAAGCAGGGTTTTTTTTAACAGGACCGACTGGCACCATCTCTCAAGAGACCGGTATTGCTGCCTGGAGAACAGCAACTGGTGACAAAAAGTGTTCTTTGCAGGAAATGGACCTGCATTGACTTCCCGCAGTACCAGCTGCTAAGCACACCAGTAACCAGCTGCTAACTGCTGCTCCTTCAGTAACGGGATCTTGTTTCCAGCAAATGGACAAAAGGACGCCCCCCAGCATCTGCTACGGCTGGCACCTACAGCGAGTACACTAGCTGGGAGGCATCACCTCTCACTTCTGTTATTGTTATTCTTTTAAATGACATTCAAATCCTTAA